GTTCGGAGGCCCAGGTGGTCCGGGGGGGTTAGGGCGTTTGTGGGGGGTGAGGGTTGCAGGGTTTACCGGGGTTGCAGGTCTTACCAGGGTTGCAGATCTTACCGGGGTTGCAGGTCTTACCAGGGTTGCAGGTCTTACCGGGGTTGGGTCTACCGGGGTTGGGTCTACCGGGGTTACGGAGTTTAGGGGGCTGAGAGTTTTAAGGAGTTTAAGGCAGGGTTTAGGGCAGGGTTTACGGGTGAAAGCACGTTTACCGGAGTCGGGGATTCTAGGGGGGTAGGCATTTTAGAAGGGGGGATCAGGGGTTTCAGAGGTTTCTGGGGTTTCTGGGGTTTCTGGGGTTTCTGTGGTTTCTGGGGTTTCTGGGGTTTCTGGGGTTTCTGGGGTTTCTGGGGTTTCCCAGGGTTCAGGGGGTTCAGGGGGCTCAGGGGGCTCAGGGGGTTGCGGGGAAAGTAGGCTTTTACGGGGTTTTGGGATTTTTGGGGGCTCTGGGTTTTCTGGGGTTTGGCTCAGGTGGTTCAGGGGGTTAGGGGGAGTCGGATCCTTGAAAGGTTTGCCTCCTGCGGAAGGTTTGCAACCGATGCACTTGGCAGTTTCTTGTCGTTCACCCACCTGAGCGAAAAGAGGAATGCACTTCTTTGCCAGTTTCTCATCCACCAGACACATCTTTGCGAGAGTAACCCATGCGATGGCTTGCGCATGCAAAGGAACCTCCAGCGCGCGACCTCCACCGTCTCCCCTCGATGAAACACTCGTCACTCCAGAACAGTTTACAGGTGAACCTGATGCCCCGGGATGCGCTCGTCCAACCAAGGCCTGCGTGAAAGTCACCGCCTGCGCTGTCAAGCATTCCCCATGCAGCATCACCAGCTCACCTATCGTGAACAACGCATTCGGAATCCTCTTTTCCAGCTGTTCTTCATCAAGCTCGCATGCTCTGTTGTCGTCTCCCGGCAATGATTCGTCACCAGGGGTGCCATTGCCAGGGGTGCAATTATCAGGGGTGAAAGCCTGGCTGACCTGACTCTTCCCAGTTTGCTGTGTCCAACCCATATGGCTCCTTGCCGTCCCTCCGCCGACCCTCAGGTATGCCTCCAGCAGTTTACACGCGTCTTTCATCAGGATAGTGACCCATTCCGGAGTCTCTGCCCTCACACTACTCTGGGCATTATGATTCCATAAGGTGGCTAATGCCTCGATGTGTGCAGTAACCTGAGATGGGAAAAAAAAGGGGGGTTCCAAGCCGAAGACAGAAGAAAATCAATGAGAGTTCTGAACGGGGAGGGGTAAAGAAAGATACATTAGAGAACATGAGACAGACGACCAAGTTGCTCCAGTAGTACCTCTTGAAGATAACATCCCTTTGCCGTCGCACTGCGTCGCCTTGGGCTGTGGTTGAAATGCCCGAATTCCAGCGAAATGCCCATGGAAGCAGTACTGTGTTCATCCCCATAGAATGCACGGTCATTATCGCTGCATCTAGACTGAAAGCTCCCCCAAAACAGCTATGATCGCTGCCCGTTCTATTCGGGTGAAGACGGCAGTCCTTGCCTTCATAACAACACACTAGTGAGCATGTGAGATTAGCCCCGTCGGACTGCTTTCTCCCATTGCAGTATCGCAGCTCAACCATCATTGAACCATGCCAGTATGTTGTTGTTGTTTTTTGTTTTTTTTTTTGCTATGATTTACAGTTGTACGAGCTTTTGCTCTATAATTTTTCCTTGTTTCTGCTATGATATTTTTGGGTTTTGCTATGCTTTTGTTTTTTTTTTGTTTTTGCTATGAATTCTTTTGGTTTTGCTATGATTTTTTTCTTTTTGCTATGAGTTTTTTTGTTTTGGCTATGATTCTTTTTTGTCATTTTCTCTCTTTTCTTCTGCCACGATTTTTCAGTTGCTTCTGAGGGAAGAACTGCCGCGCTGTACCTTTATTTCGCGGTCCTGCTGCTAAATTTTAAGAGCTGCAGCTCATTTCTTCTGGAGCACTACATTGCTAGAGCTGTTGTTGTTTCGTATCCATCAGCAGTCACACTCACTCATTTTGGGCGCTACTTAATTGAGCATGTGAGGACCCCGGCCTCAACATTTTCATGGATAATATCAGCCTTGGGCACTGGGCCCGTTTAAAAATAAAAAAAAATAAAAAAATAAAAAGAGCATCCCGGAGCAAAGCTACGGGGTACGTAAGCTGTGCTACTATTCACTGGCAGTGGTAGAAGGGATCACCAGCAGCTGTAATTGCCTGTAGAGGTCTCTGGACTCTAGCAAACTGAGCGTCTGCGAATGGGGTAGGCTGTGGAGACGTAAACACGGCGGGGAGCAGAAGCGCCACCTGTAGGCGGCCATGTACTCGTAGGCAGAAGAAGAGGTGGTAGCTATGGTTGAGCACTGGGGAAGGCTCAGAGTGGTCCTCGGTAATTACCGCTTGGCCACTGTTTTAAAGAATTTTCTTGCAGCCGTGGTCCTTCGGAAGAGGCTTGCTTGAACTGTCCATCAGCTGCTACTACAGAGCGCCCGGTCGCAATAGCTGAACAAAGGGCAACTTCCAGTCCAGATACAGCAGCAATGACTGGGCGTTCTATTCGGGTAAAGACAGTAGGGCACAGTTATCCAGTCATCATCGGGGATTAGAGAGGAGCAGGAGGAGGAGCCACGCGGCAAGAAAGAGGTTTGAGCGAGGTGGAGTTGCAATCTCCAGTGGAGGGGGTGGAAAAGGGGGGCAGGCGGAGTAGCAGAGGAATGAAGAGGATCGCCGAAGGTCACCCCTCATCCCTTTCGCTAGGAGGAGAGCTTAAAGATGCCCCCTTTTTCGATGGAGTTCTATTCCACGTTTTCAAAAAATAGCCACGATATGGTTGAATTTGCTTCTTTAGTCCTTTGGATAAGCTTTCCACGTTCCCTTAAGAAGAAAAAGGAGGGAAGGGAGGAAGAAGAGGAGGCCGACGAGAGAGCAAAGAGAGGTCAGAGGAGAGGAGCAGCAGCACGAGGCTGAAGAGCTACAGGGCAAGGAGGGAGACGAGAGGACGAGAAGACGGGAGAGGAGAGGAGGAGAGGAGGAGAGGAGGAGAGGAGGAGAGGCGAGGAGGCGAGGAGGCGAGGAGGCGAGGAGAGGAGGAGAGGAGGAGAGGAGGAGAGGAGGAGAGGGGGAGAGGAGGAGAGGAGGAGAGGAGGAGAGGAGGGTGAGGGAATTGGCCAGCCAACATGACAAACCTCTGCAGGCTGAAGGGTAAAAGAGGACAAGTTCTCCATCAAATCGTTGGAGAGGTCTAACGCTGCATCTTTCGGAAACCGCATTGACAGATTTGCTATTGTCTTCAGCAAATACACTCGATCTTCCAACCACTGGGAGGAGCATCCCCCCTCACCAACCTTTTCTCCAGCTGGCAGCCCTCTAGCACCCCGAGTGTTATTGCCTCCACGTCGAGCCCCTCCGCCGCTCTTCTGCCATTCCTGCGTTTCCATCACTCCCTCCTCCTCCTCCTCCTCCTCCTCGTTCCCTTCACCTTCATCGACTTCGCCTGTTGTCCGCTTTTTATTGTTGTTGGGATCCGTATGATTCTCCGGTGTTACCCACCTACTCCGCAAGAATTCCCAACTGATCGCTTCTGGAACGTACGCAGATATCTCAGAAAGGAGAAGCCATGCCCCTGGAGGAGCCAATCCTTTCCTGGCCGGCCCTGCCTCCCTCTCCAGATTCTCCCCCTCCCTCGCCTCCTCCCCTCCTACCGTTACAGAGGTTGCCCCCCACTCCGCCGCAGCAATAACCGTCTGCAATGCCGTAGCGACCGCCGGGCGGATCTTTCGCTTCTTCGATATCATCAGAACAATCCTATGCACGCATGCATTCAAGGTTCCTCCGTAAGATATGCCTTTGAGGACAGTTAGCACACCGCTCGGAAAGGCCGTCACCACGTCCATCCAATCATTCTTACCATCGACTGTGCTTACCTCCCTGTTCCTTCTCCCACGCATTAGCTTGCCCAGAAGAGCAGATGCATCCGCAATTCGATCGAGCACTAGCTCCTCAAAGACCTCGATGCACTTATCTTGTACAGAGCTTTCATTATCCAAGGACAGAGGAAGTATTGCCCGGAGCCATTCATCAATCACCCCCTGCTCATCGGAGAACGCTCGTGCAACCTGCACCGCATACCAAGGATCAGCACAACATCAACGAAACGCTC